AACCTAAACACCCTCCCCTGCAGGCATGCAGTAGCCACTTGGGAGTTGGTTTTTGCAGGCCGTTAGAGAGCCTTGCAATTTGTGCTCTCCTAACAAAAGGCCAAGTGTGATTCCACTACAACTCTCGTTTCTCCTGATCTTGTTACAAATACGTGTCTGCCAACTGGTACTACAGCACTTGAGCGGCCACCAGCTTTGCACTTAGGTTGAACTAACTTTCTTAGAAAAGTAGGCCAATAGCTTGGAAACTGTTCTACCGATATTTTAGAACTCAGGAAAACAGAAGACTCCTTCTGAAAGCATGTTCTGTCTTGTTACATAAAGAGACACAAGGGATTTTAGATTCCAGCAGAGATGGCATAATTGGTACCCCTGTCCCCCTCCAAAGCACAGCCCCCAGACAAAACTAGGGCTCTTATGAGAACTGCAGAGTTGGATCGTAATTTTCTATTTCAAGGCCAAGTATCTTGGTTTAGGAAAAATAATGGAGATAAGGCAGAGAATAAGGAGTAGTCTCTGTCTGGTACCCCTTGAATTAGGGAGACCAAAAAAAAAAAAAAAAAGAAAGAAAGAGAAAAAAAGGATGTTTTGAAATTAGAAGTGGAAAAGAAGGTTGTGGAGACCTAGAGGAGAAGGAAATCCACGGCAATGGCCGAGCCCAGACCTGTTGGGGTGTGGGGGCATAGGTGGTGAGGGCTGACAGGAAGGAAGCCTGTAGGGCACTAGGAGGTAGCTCTAACCAGCTGGGCTTTACAAAAAAAAAAAACCCCAAGTGGGAAACAGATGCATTTGTAAATCCGTCAATTCGTATGTAAATTCAGATTGGTATGTAAATTAGCCCCTAACATCGTCCACAGTCCCCATCACAAGGCCAAACAATAGGGTTACCTTCCTTTAACTCCACTGGTCATCCTAAGAGGTTTCATTGGAATGAAAATATTCACGAAGAATGAGGGAAAATCCGGATCGAGAGGAAGTTTTACAATGTGATTTTCCCTGGCCTACGTCACCAACCCTAACACCCCAAGAAACACAAACGATACTTCTGTTTCTTCACCTTAATCAGAAGGAATTTCCAAAGATGTCTCATGAATTCCATGGACCCACATCAAAATCTCAACTCCAATAAGGAGTCAGACAGAAATATTACAAGATGCTAAATTGGTTCTTCTGGTATTTATTTAATATAAAAACTTAGACTTTGGAATCTCACCATGGCCAAATTTGTTAGATGAATAGATTCTGTAGTCCCAAAACAGGTGAGTGTTCAGTGTTTATTCATTCTGAACTGGAAGCAAGGAAGTTAGCTACCAGCCGTGAATCCTGGCCAACATGTGGGATGTGAAGGGATGAGGAGGTCATCTTCATAGTCATTGAGTTGCTGTCCAAGAGTAGCAACCACAGCCAAGGCCATAAATCATGGTCCATTCACCTCACTGTGCTCTTCCTCACCCTGCGAAACATGGGAAAGACTCAATCCATAGGCAAAATAAAAATGATGTTTGGAATAACTCTGTTCACACCCTCCTGATATTTCAGGCACCATGCACAAATTGGCGTATTCTCTCTCATAACTGGTAGCCTTGTAATATTGTACATCAGTATCTCAATTATTAAATATAATCACATGGGCGCCTGGGTGGCTCAGTCAGTTAAGCATCTGACTCTTGATTTCAGCTCAGGTCATGATCTCAGGGTCGTGGGATTGAGCCCTGTGACTGGCTCTGCGCTGGGGGTGGAGCCTTCTTGGGATTTTTCTCCCCCCCCCCCCCGCCCCCCATCTGTCTCTTTAAAAAAATAGAATCACACTAGAAGAGAACTTCGGTTCATCAGGATCTTACACTTATTGCAGGAAAAGACAACTATCCAAGAAAATCATTTTTACTTTGCTAAGACTTTTTTTTTAAGCTGTTGTTTGCATTGTGTTTTGTTTTGTATACTGTTTAGAGGAAATCGCAGGGGGTGAGCACTCACTCAGTCTCATAGCTTTCATGTTTTCCAGCTACAGTCATGGCAATGCAGTTTGATCTCTGGAATGATGTCTCTTAGACACTACAACCTCACAGCCATTCCTCAGAACCTGCCATACCCATTTCTGACCCTCCATCCTTGCTTGTGCTATTCCCATTCCAAACCCTTCCGCGTCTAGCGCAATCATTTGGGTCTTGCCTATGTTCCTCTCACATTTTCTGCCTCCTTTCACTCACCTCCTTCCTCTTCCTTCCCTTTCGCAACCTTACCTGCCCAGAGTTTGTCTTCCCTCCCTGAACCTTATAGGCCTGAAGTGTGAATCCCTCAATAAGAGACAACAGCTGGAACATGGGCTCCCACTGAAAACTGTTTTGTGGGTGTCGTTCTTAGGTTCCCTACCTGCACAGTGAGCACTTGAATTTTCAGACGGGGTGACCTACTTTTTTGTTTCCTCACTTGAAGCTAGGGTAGTGCTTTGCATGTAGTAAAAAAATGAGCAATGATTATAATAACAGCTGAAACTTTTGGCAGGCTTACTGTGTGCCAGGGACTGTGCTGAGCAATATGCATTAATTAGGATTATTGCTATTTTGCAGATGAGAAAATAAAGACAGGGAGAGGGTAATAATTCGCCCAGATCACAGAGCTGACAACTGGTACAATGGAATTTATTCATCATATATTCCATTCGGTTCACTAGACTCTCTGAGAAGAAAATGGCTACATGCATATTTTCACATATCTTTTGTTTTTTATCTTGCCATCTGTGACAACATGGATGGAACCAGAGGGTATTATGCTAAGTAAAATAAGTCAGTCAGAGAAAGACAAATACTATAGGATTTCACTCATATGTGGAATTTAAGAAACAAAACGGAACAAAGGGAAAAAGAAGAGACAAACCAAAAAACAGACTCTTAACTATAGAGAACATACAGATGGTCACCAGAGAGGAGGTGGGGGGGATGGGTGAAACAGGTGTGGGGATTAAGAGTACACTTACCATGATGAGCACTGAGTAATGTACAGAATTGTTGAATCACTGTATTGTACACCTGAAACTAATATAACACTGTTAATTATACTGGAATTAAAAATAAATATAAATAAATAATTTTGAAATCGAAAGCAAAAAAACCCATTTTCCCCCGCACATTATCTTATGATACATCTTGGCATTTGTTAATGTCATGTATGCCAGGAGCTACTCCAGTACATCCCCTCTGTTCCACTGGTAACAGTGGTAATTGCCCTTTTGAGCCAGCATTAGTCTTAACAAGTAGTGTTCTGTAGTTCGTGGTCAGTTGAATAAATAAATAATAAATAAATAAATATGTGGTCAGTTGAATCTCTTACATACTTATTAGACTATTCTTTTGTTTTCTTGCTTATTTTTTTCATTTTAATTGAAATTGTGCTAAAATCAGAAAATTTGGAGCAAATGGTCATATGTACATATATGCTGTCCTCCCATCCAATAGCATATCTATAGTGACTCATTTTGCAAATAACACCTAAATCTTTTTTTAATTAAAAAATTTTTTTTAATTTTAATTTTATTTTTTTTAATTAACATATAATGTATTATTTGTTTCAGGGAAATAACACCTAAATTTTAACGTATTCTGTCAGCATTGCTTAAATCTCTCAGTGGCCCCTAATCTCTCTTTAGCAACAAGGTCCAATTCTCTTTGTAGCCCTCAGTAGCTAAGTGAATGTTGTGCAGAAGCTTCTTTTTACACTGACCTAGTTTTGCTCGGACCTTAACCTTCTTTCTCTGAGGCCAGTAAGGTGTAGGAGGCCTGATCTTGGTCTCTTTCTTTCTGACATCCAGAACATAGAAGACAGTTTTCTGGAAATCAGTTGCTTCCATTTGGTAAAGTCTGTATCACTCCATCCACTCCTGCTCACCCATTTTTGTCCTTCTACCAGCATCTGTAAAACACTTGGGGCTCAAGAGATGTTCGAAAAAGGTAAAAAAGGGGGCGCCTGGGTGGCTCAGTCGGTTAAGCATCTGACTTTGGTTCAGGTCATGATCTTAGGGTCCTGGGATGGAGCTCATCGGGGAGCCTGCATCTCCCTCTCCCTGTTCCACTACCCCCACTCATGCTCTGTCTCTTTCAATTAAATACATATTAAATCTTCAAAAAAAACCCCACTGCGGTGATGTTATCACAGGTCTATGCATGTGTCCAAACTCATGGAAATGTATGCATTAAATATGTGCATTTTTATGATTAAGTATACCTTAATGAGGCTGAAAGAAAGAAAACAGAGTTTTTGGTAAATTGGTATATTTGGTTAAGCCTTGGTGAATTAAGTTGTATGGTAACTCGATCCTTCAAAGAATGGCCCACTTGTTCACTTGGTCATTCTGTGACTTGGCTTTTGGTGACATGGCTCTTGATGAACTGACTTGGAGCCAAATCCGTGACTTCTAATACCAAGCAAATGAGGCAGGGTTTTTATCCGCGGATAGATCCTCTTTAGAACTTCCCCATGGAAACAAGTGCTTTATCATGAGAAGGAAAATTCTGGGATTTTATCCGCACACAAATGTGGGAACAAATCACTCTTGACTTTCCCTTGCCCTGGCCTTTTCTAGTTCCTTTCTCCCTTTTCCTTCCTAATGTAACAGGCTAGATGGGCAGAAGGGGGGGGAAGTGTCAGGGGTCTAGTAAGGGTTGGGGTCTGGGTGGTAATGGGGACGGCCAGGGCAGGTCCTTAGTGTGTAGCACACCCCGCTCCTCCTAGTCCCTGATGTTTGCTGGGAGACGCAGTTGCTGCAGAGGCTGCAGGTGTCTTTCCGCATGCGTTCCCCAGAGTTCCCAGAAGGAAAGTATGAGTGCTGCTATGGCAACCATTTTCAACCAGTGGGAAGCAAAGCTGAGACATTTCTGCCTGCTCGGGTTCTGTCAAGGAGGGGAAGTAGGCGACAGCTGAGGGAAGGAGAGTACGATCAGTCCTAGCAACTATCTGACCTCAATAAGAGGAGCAATCTGTAGTATTCCTACTCCGTTTCTTTCCAGCAGGAGATGAGCTTGCAGGGCTGTGCCGGGATGAAGAAGAACGATAAGCCTCGCCCCTGGTACGTATTGGGGGTCCTTATTTGCCAGTCACTGGGTTCAGGGCTCGGTATCTGTTAGGCCATTTCCTTCTCACAACAGATATTAATATTTTCTTTTTTTTTAAAGATTTTATTTATTTATTTGACAGAGAGAGACACAGCGAGAGAGGGAACACAAGCAGGGGGAGTGGGAGAGGGAGAAGCAGGCCTCCCGCGGAGCAGGGAGCCCGATGCGGGGCTCGATCCCAGGACCCTGAGATCATGACCTGAGCTGAAGGCAGACACTTAACGACTGAGCCACCCAGGCGCCCCCAGATGTTAATATTTTCATATTAGATTTCAGAAAACAGAGACGAAGAGCATTAATTTGCCCAAGACTCAAACCCAGAGCTTTTGTGCTTTTTGCTTAGCTATTCCCAGATTCTGAGATAAGGGCCTCTGTTGTATGCTTGATGGTTTCCTTTAAAGATATCTTTTATGGGGGCACCTGGCTGGCTCAGTTGATAGAGCAGGCAACTCTTGATCTCAGGATGATGAGTTCAAGCCCGCGTCAGGCGAGGAGCCCACTGGAAAAAAAAGTCTATTAAAAAAAAAACTTAAGAAAAATAAGGATATCTTTTATGAAGCACAGATGACAGAGAGTATACTATAATGGTTATCAGCGCAGAATCGGGGCAATTTACATAGCCTATGGGATTTAGACAAGTGAGGCAGGGTTTTTTTTTTTCAAATTTCCTTGCCTATAAAGCGGGGATAACAGTGATGCCTGTTGAATAGGATCTTTATGAGGATGAAATCAAATAGTTCATTGACAGATTAAGAACACCTGGCACATTGTAGCCTTTCTCTTTAAGGTTTACATATTCCTGCCGTTAGTATTAGTAGTAGGAGGAGTATAAATGGTACTCTTTTAAATGGTCTTAATTGGTGAAATGAAAAGACCATGATCTGTATCAGAATCCTGTTTTGTTATTTAGTCCATGAAATCTCCAAGGCTGGGAGCCCTGCCCTTAACCCATGTGCTTTGTATGTGGAGTGGTTGATTTCTCGTGCTGAAACAACTGGTCTCCATCCCAACAAGCTAAGGAAAGTACTTCGCTAAGTGTTCTCTCTCTTCAGGAGGAACTATTGAGCTCGCTGCCTGGAAGCCACCGCACACATCCAGGCCTGCCACACACAGGTTGGGCTGCTGAGCTGGCATAGAGAGGTAAGCACGTGGGAGTGTGGAAGGCGGGGTGGCTTCGTGGGAAGAAGACCAACTATGGACTCACAGGCTTGCAAACCACGGATCTGCCACAGACTGGCTTTGTGACTTCAGGCGGGTTGTTTCAGCTGCCTGAGCCTCATCTGAGCAATGGGATCATAATAGGGGTTGACAAGGCTGAAAATAAGAGGAAATGAAGGAACTCATATAGAGCACCCCGAACAAGGCCAGGCTTGCTGTAGGTCTTCAGTAAACATTCGCTACCCCAAACATGATGATTAAGAGACTAACCACAATAGACAGAATAAAAAAGTAGGGGCACTGGAAAGAGCCCACATCTTCCCTGCAGCTGGGGAGATTTTCTCAGGACTCCAGGCACAGGTGTGGCTTGAGCTGTGGCTGGTAGAGTGAGTGCCCAGCCGCCGAGGGCGAGCGAGACTCGTGAGGACACTGGGTGCTGAGCACGTAGGCTCCGGAGCAGAGAGACCGCTGCCAGGGACGGCGACCAGCCTCAGTTCTGCTCACTTGTCCAAATCCCATAAAGCGCATCCGACCAGTTGCTATGAACGTCGTAGCGTTCCAGCAGGGGCCAGACCGCAGCCCTGCCTGCCCCCCGCCGTGTACCCTGTGTACGTGTGCGGTGGAGGGGGCACGCCGCACCTCTGGAATGGGAGCTCGAAACACCCAGCCCCACAGCAAGGGCTTTCCTAAGGGGCAGAGCTCTGAGCTCCTTTGTGTCATGCTTTTGGGGCAAGGACAGCGGGGACCCCTGGAGAGAGGAAGTAGTCTGGCTCCTGGCGTGATCTTTCAGGCAAATACAAAGGAGCCGCTGGGCAGGCGTCATGGAAAGAGGCTGGTTTCTCCGCATCTCACTGGGTGCCCAGCCCGTGCACTGCATTCTCGGAGGAGAGGACCCCCGGTCAATCACGCTCTTACCCGGAGCTGCCTTCCCAGCCCCGTGCCCGTGGCAGAGGCCTTCCTCAGGCACCCCTGCTCACGCCTCCTCGTCGCAGGCAGTGGGGCGCTTAAAGACACATTTTCTCCACTCGGTACTCAGGACTTTTCCACTCCCAGCCCTTCCTCCTCACTGCCCCCCCACTGCGTGTGGGTCCATAAAATGGCAGGAGCCTTCTGTTCAGGGCTTCTTCCCCAGTGAGACCATCCCTCGAGGCTGCGCCAATCCATCTGACCCTTGCTGGAGCTGGTCCATGGAACAGTGGGGGGTGGTCCGCACCTTCTCTGGTTCACCCCCTGGTTATACTATCAAAGGAAGTGATTAGAGGCTTGACTGTTAGTTTTATTTTGACTTCTTGTTTTAATCGACTACTCTGAAACCTGGCGACTCAGCTTTCTGTAGCTCAGCTCAGCTCTTGAGAAAGAGGTGCAGTAAGCAGGGTAGTTGATGTGGAAGAAAATCTCAGGGGGCACTTGACCAATGGGGTACCAGCAAAGCGTGCTGGCAAGTCAGCTGCAAGAGGCAGAGGATCTCATGGGGCAGCAGAAGCCACGGGGCATTCTTGGAGGATGGCAGTGAATTGTTTTTTCCTTTTTTTTTTTAAGATTTAGTTATTTATTAGAGCGCACGAGTGGGAGGGGCAGAGGGACAGGGAGAGAGAATCTCCAGCAGACTCTGTGCTGAGCATGGAGCCCAACGCGGGGCTCCATCTCAAACCCTGAGATCATGACCTGAGCCGAAATCAAGAGTCAGCCACCCAGGCATCCCGCAAATTGTTTATATAAGCTTTTGGGTTCCAAGGTGGACCACTGGTCCTTCTCTTTAGTTCCCAGCACCCTGGCTGAAATCGTTGGGTGGGTCAAATTAGAAATCCAACAGCGAGGGACTGTAAGAAAGCCAGGGAAGCAATTCACTCACTACTGTTTCCTGTCCTCTGATGACGGGACCAGAAGTTGTCAGAGACCAGGGAAACTGAGTTGCACCCAATGACTATTAGATCTAAGCCGATCCCTGGTGCCAGTGGACGGTCTGCTGGGCATTGTGTTATTGAGACTCATGCTTCTAATTAAAAAAAAATGTAGAGCTCTTTGAGATTGCTATGTCCAGTGCTCTCAGGAGACCTTAGTAACTTGACAAGTTTGCCTCTGTGATGAAAGAGGGAATCTTGTTCAACTTCACAAGGGAAAGTGGCTCCGAGTGAGGTGCATCACCGTAGACCCCCTCCTCCCGAGTGCCTTGACAGTAGCCACTTTACCTGAGGAGGAGGAAGAAGGGAGAGATGAGAGGGTAGGATTATCAGAGACCCTCTTCCTCAGCTTCGGGCTCTGACAGATTTGGCCCACACATGATGAGGCAATGAAAAAACTTGTCTGGAGCGCCCTTACAGAAGCTACGGAGACCCCGCACCCAGCCCGGTAGTCTTTGGGGTCTACAGTGAGGGAGTGGGAACGGTGTTTGATGAGGTTGTTCACCAGGCGAAGATTTTTAGGTTTGTTCATGCTGCTCCTGCTCGTTATCGAACCCAATTAAACCACCCAATTAAGCTTCAGAATGAGGTTAGGTCAATTGGTCAGCCACACAATCTGGATCTTCACTGAGAAATTTCTGGGCACTGAAAAAGTGGCTACTGCAAATAGAGCAAATTTGACTGACCAAAGTAAAAATGTCAAAATGGCGATCAGGAGCCCTCTTGTGGACTTCCTGGGCAAGAGCTTTTTCCAAAGACAGCTCTGGGCCCAGTCACTCAGTAATGGGTCCTCAAAGAAGGAGATTGATGTGCTCCCCACTAAGGAACTCTGGGCCAGTACCAGGTCATGGGGGACTTGATAGATGGTCCTACTAGGGTCTGCATGGTGATGGCCCTCTGCCTCTCCTGGTGAATCGGGAGATGAATCCAAGAGTCTGAATGTCTTAGTGTCTTCATCAGCTCAGGACAGAATGAGTGGCCTGCTATTGGCTTTGGTGGATACTGCGCACATGATCGATGGCTGTGAGGTAATCTTAAGACCAGAAATCCCATGGGCGCCTGGGTGGCTCAGTTGGTTAAGCGACTGCCTTCAGCTCAGGTCATGATCCCAGGGTCCTGGGATCGAGTCCCGCATCGGGCTCCCTGCTCTGCGGGGAGCCTGCTTCTCCCTCTCCCACTCCCCCTGCTTGTGTTCCCTCTCTCGCTGTGTCTCTCTGTCAAATAAATAAATAAAATCTTTAAAAAAAAAAAAAAAGACCAGAAATCCCAGTCATGTCACAGATCCAAGCAGATGTCTCAAATCACCTGGTGGAGGTGGTTCAAGAGTCTTCCATACGAAGATATAAATGGTACATACAGGAATGAACAAAACGCAGCCCAGATGAGGTCTCATAACTCCAAGGAAAGATCTCAGGAGTGTCTCTCTGGCTCCCTGGCATATTTCCCAAGGAGGCAGCCCAGTGAGGTCCCAGATAGAGAGACTTCCTGGACCACAAATGGGCCTGTTCCCTGTCGGCTTCTCCTGGGTAACTACTAACAAGCAGGGACGGGGTTCAGCTGCCATCCACGCTGAGAGAGACCTTTCCCTTCCCGGGTGTGGTAAGGAATGCTCAGTATAACGGGCAGAGCTTCGTGCAGGGTGGCTGGCTGGCTGTCCCGGCCACCTCAACAAAGGGGTTTGCTCTATTTTTGCTGACTGGTGTACTGTGGCTAATGGCCTCGGCATTTTTGGGGGGCCACTGGCAAGACTCAGATTGGCATGTAGAGCAAGCCTCCCTCTGGGGACTAGCCATTGGGGTAGAAGTCAGTTCTGCTCCTAATAAGTTTCTTGTTACTCATGTGGATGCTCACCAGAAAGACCCCCAACGGGGGGGGGGGGGGGACATCACAAACGGGTGGACTGTGCTCGTCAGCCACACAGGAAGACTCAAGTGTCCTTTACCCCAGAGCAAGCAGATACGCCTCTAGGATCCACAAGAGAATGGCCGCTGGGAATTCAGTGTAGGGAAGGAAAAATTCTTTCTCTACCCTTCAAGGTCTTTTAGCTGGACTAAATTAAATTTCCATGAGACCGAGTAATAGGAAAAAAACAAACAGTGTCATTATATGGGCACAGAGGCCCAGTAATGAAATTGAGACCTAAAGAAATAAATGACCAAAGCAGGCAGTTTTTATACTTTTTAGACAAAGAGACAATAAACTTGTGAGGAATTGACAGGATAAAGAAAACAGGTGTTTGGGAGCTTTAGTAGGGGATTCTAAGCGGAATTTAGGCTGAGGGTAGTAGATTAGGGGGAAAAAAACCCCACAAGGTTTGTTTCTACAGTTTTGTCGGCTTCGAAGTCTCTATCTCTGGTCACAAGGAATTCCCAAGTTAAAAAACTTCTTAGTACAAGGACGGTATTTTTCTCAGGGGAGATTTGTTTCCTGTTTCTTGGGGACAGGACGGTCTGAGTGTCCTTATATTGGCTGTAACTTTTCTTTAAAACTATCAGTATGCCAAAGTGGCACATTTTGGGGTGGCCTGCCCTTGGCCCCGCGTCGGAAACCATCCTAGACGGGGCCACACGCAGGGGCTGCCACTGCTGTCAGAAGAAAACATGGGGGAAAAGCTCCTCGATGTTGGTTCTGACAGTGATTTCTTGGATGTGACACCAAAAGCACATGCAACGAAGCGGAAATAAATGAGTGGGACTACCTCAACCTAAAAAGCTCCTGCACAACAATGGAAACCATCAACAGAATGAAAAGGAGAAAATATTTGCAGGCCATGTATCTGCTAAGAGGTTAATACCTAAAATATATAAGGAACTCCTGTAATTCAACAGGGAGAAAACAAGTAACTGGTTAAAAGATGGGCAAAGGGGCGCCTGGGTGGCTCAGTCGGTTAAGCGACTGCCTTCGGCTCAGGTCATGATCATGGAGTCCCGGGATCAAGTCCCACATCGGGCTCCCTGTTCGGCGAGGAGCCTGCTTCTCCCTCTGACCCTACCCCCTCTCATGTGCTGTCTCTCATTCTCTCTCTCTCAAATAAATAAATAAAATCTTTAAAAAAAAAAAAAAAGATGGGCAAAGGACCTGGGTGGACAGTTTTCCAGAGAAGTCATGCACATAGCACCACTCCTCATCAGGAAAATGCAAATCAAAAGCACAATGAGATCTCACCTTCTGGGGGAGCAACATTTGCCACCCCAAAATGTGTCTCTTTGGCATGAGGATTAATTTAGGCTGATTATTTTTAAGAAACAGAAGACTCAGGAAGTTTTTCTTTTTACCTCTTTCTTTTTACCTTTACCACTGCCTGAAAGAACTTAGATAGAGGGCCTCTTCCCGGAAACGAGCCACCATCCTAGATAATGACAGTACAGTGTGGCCGCAGGTGTGGTCGGGTGACAGGGAGAAACCTAGCAAAGTGTGTGTGTTAAAATTCCTCTCTGCGTCTTGTTGTTCCTTTATGGCCCAGCAAATATCTGTTTACCAAACATTTATTTTTCATCTTCCTGTGAATGGCTCTCCTGCCCTTTGAAGGCTCAGACCCCTCCCTGCTTCTCAGTTCAGGATGGCATACATAACTTCATTTTGCCTGTCTTTGGAATGTCTTATGTTTATGGGGATTCCCCACAGGTATATAATTTAATTTGTTTTTCTCCTATGATTCTGTCTTGTGTCATTTTAATTACTCAGCCAACCCGCCAAAAGAACTAAGAGGGGAAGGGGGAAATTTTCCCTTCTCTGACAACCTTACACCTGTTGGGATGGCTACTATCAAAAAGACAGGAGATAACAGGCGCTGGCAAGGATGCGGGGAAAAGGGAAGCCTCATGCACTGTTGGCGGGAATGTAAATCGGTGCAGCCACTGTGGAAAAACAGTGTGGAAGTTCCTCAACATTAAAAATCGAATTACTGTGTGATCTAACAATCCCACTTCTGGGTATATATCTGAAGGAAAGGAAATCAGAATCTTGAAGAGATATTTGCACTCCCATGTTCATTGCAGCATTATTCAAATTATTCAATAGCCAAAACATGGGAACAACCTAAGGGTCTATAGATGGATGAACAGATAAAGAAATATATATAAACTGTGGGAGAGATATATAATGTGAGACATATATATAATGTGAGACATATATATAATGTGAGACATATATATGTATATATATATCTGCTGTCATTTTTGACAACATGGATAAAACCAGAGGGCATTTTGCTAAGTGCAATAAGCCAGACAGAGAAAGCTAAATACTGTATGATCTCATTCATATGTGGAATCAAAAAAAATTAAGTCAAACTCCTAGAAACAGAGAGTTGAATGGTGATTGCCAGGGGCTGGGGCTGGAGGAAATCAGATGTTGGTCAAAAGATAAGTTCTGGGGAGCTAATGTTTGGTGTGGTGACCACAGTTAATAATACTGTATTGTGTACTTGACATTTGCTAAGAGAGTCTATCTTTTTCTCTTTTTTTCAAGTTTCAGATATTTATTAATGATTTCGTGTATTTAGAGTGGAACGATTTCCTGGATAAGTGGAAAATTGTGCAGGTGGCTTCTGGAAGACCTTCATTTTAAGCAGCTTTATAGTGAAACGTTTCATTTAGAAGTCTGGACCTTCTTCAGTTTGCTGCAATCTCCGTTCACTGAGTAGAACTTGTATTGATTCTTGGGACCCAGTTTGTTCCCGGGTTCTGGATTGAACGAATACCAGGCGCAAGACACACAGCACTGCTCCAGTACCTTTGGCTCCACGACATAGGAAGAGGGGCATCAAGCTTGGCTGCTTCTTGGAACGTCTCGGAAGATCTGGCAGAACGTGGTGGCGGCAGAAGCCTAGAGTCTAGAAGGAGGGAACAGATCTGCAAGGAAGAGATTCCGCTAAGAGAACAGATCTTCAGCCCTCTTTCTGCACACAGAAAAGGTAACTGTGAGTTGAGGGATGTGTTAAAATTGCCTTAATTGTGGTCATTTCACAATGTGTACGTATATCAAATTGTATTGTGCACTTTAAGTATATACAGTTTCATTTGTCAATTAAAAATAAAGCTGGGAAAAAATTACAAATAAACTGTCAAGTAGATCCATTGATGGATGGTTCTTTTGAGTTCAGCTATATCCTTACTGATTTTCTGCCTACTGGATCTGTCAGTTACTAATAGAGGGAGTGTGGAATCCCTCACGTTAACAGTGGGTTATCTGTTTCTCTCTGCATTTTTATCAGTTCTTGCCTCTTGCATTGTGACGCTTCGTTGTAAAGTGCATATATTTCAAAGATTATTGTGTCTTCTCAGAGAATTGACCCCCCCTTATTATGTAATACCCTCGTTATTCCTGGGAAGTTTCCTTGTTCAAATGCTTTTTGTCTGAAATTAATTATCACTACTCCAGCTTTCGTTTGATTAGTGTCCGTGGCTACCCCTCTCCCCGCTCTTTTACTCTTAATATATGTGTGTTTTTATATTCAAATTGGGTTTCTTATAGACAACATATAGTCTGGTCTTGTTTATCATCTACCCTTACAGTCTCTTCTTTTAATTGGCGTATTTAGACCACTCCCATTTAAAGTGATTGTTGATATAGTTGGATTTGTATCTACCATGTTTGTCAAAATTTTGTATTTGTTGCACTTGTTCTTTGTTTTTTTCTTAATCTTCCTGTTTCTGCCTTCTCTTTTAATTGAGCATTTTTTATTATTCCATTTTCTCTTCTCTCTCAGCGTATCAGTTATATTTCTTTTTAACTTTTTAGTGGTTTCCCTAGACCTAGACTGCACAACATAAATTTACAACTAATCTAGGTCCACCTTCAAACAGCACTGCACCACTGTATGGGCAGTGTGGGTGTAACAGAATCCCCAGCTCCCCACTCCCACCCCTTCATAACACTGCTACCGTTTCTTGCACTGACCTACGTACGCGCTATGATCACCCGTACATCGTGGCTGTTATTCCTTTGAACAGTCGTCCTTTAGATTAAATAAGAAAAATAAAATACTGTATTTTAATCTTCATTTATTCCTTCTCTGACACCTCTCCTTTATTTATGTAGATCCACATTTCTGACCAATACCATGTTCCTTCTCTCTGAAGAGCATCTTTTAACATTGACTGGTGACAAAAATTCTCTCAGTTCTGTAAGTCTGAGTGTTACGGATTGAATTGTGTCCCCCTGCAAAATTCATCTGTCAAAGCCCTAACTCCCTTTAGAAAGGTCATTGATGTCCCCTGTGGCTATAAGGGTGGGGCCTCCCTGCAATTTGACTGGTGTCCTTGTAGGAAGAGGAAGAGACACCAGGATGCACGCGCGCAGAGAGGTAAGGCCATGCGTGAAGATGGCTCTCTCCAAGCCAAGCAGAGAGGCCTCCCAAAAGGCAACACTAAAGCACCGTGATCTTTGACTTTCAGTCTCCCGAAGTGTAAGAAAATCATTTTTTTGTTGTTTAAGTCACCCCGTTTGTGATATTTTGTTATGGCAGCCCTAGGAAACTACTACACCAAGAAAGTCATTATTTTCCCTTACTTCTGAAGGATGATTTTTCTGGATATAGATTCGGTTGGTGGGTTTTTTCTTTTAACACTTTAAATATTTCATTCTACTCTCTTCTTGCTTGCATGATTTTTAAAGCAAGTCTGATGTAATTCTTACCTTTGTTCCTCTCTAGATAAGGTGTCTTTCTTCTCTGACTTTAAAAGATTTTTTCTTTGTCTTTGGCTTTATGCAGTTTGAATATGATATGCCTAGGGGTGTGTGTGTGTGTGTGTGTGTATAGATATAGATATAGATATGTATATTGGCATTTATCCTGCTCGGTGTTCTCTGAGATTCCTAGATTTGTGGTGTGGTTTCTGTCATTAATTTTAGAAAAATCCCAGGCATCATTATGTCAAATAGTTCCTGTTTCTTTCTTTCTTCTGCTTTTGATAGTCTCATGATATATATGCTATACCTTTTGTAATTGCCCCACAGTTATTAGATATTCTGTTCTAATTTTTATTATTTTTTTTCTCTTTCAGTTCAGTTTGGGAAGTTTCTGGGGTTTTTTTGTTTTTTTTTTTTAAGATTTTATTTATTTATTTGAGACAGAGAGAATGAGAGAGAGAGAGCACATGAGAGGGGGGAGGGTCAGAGAGAGAAGCAGGCTCCCTGCCGAGCAGGGAGCCCGATGCGGGACTCGATCCAGGGACTCCATCCAGGGACTCCAGGATCATGACCTGAGCCGAAAGCAGTCACTTAACCAACTGAGCCACCCAGGCGCCCGGGAAGTTTCTGTTGACGGATCTTCAAGTGCTCTGATTCTGTCTCTAGCCCTTTCCAGTCATCTGATGGGTCCATCAGATGATGTATGCTTGATTTCTGTTACAGTGGTTTCTTTTTCTAGTCTTTCCTTTATATTCTTTCTTAGGGTTTCTATTTCTGTTTACATTACCTGTCTGTTCTTGCATGTTGTCCACTTTTCCCACGAAAGCCCTCAGCATATTAATCATACTTATTTTTAATTTCCCTGTCTGATGATTTCAAAATCTCTGCCATATCTGAATCTGGTTCTGACATCTGCTTTGTCTCTTCAGATTGTTTCTTCTTTCCTTTTATCACACCATGTAGTTTTTTGTTGTTGTTGTTGGAAGCCAGTCGTGAATTATCAGGTATTAGGAAGTAAATAGGCCTTTAGTATGACGTTTATTTTTATCTAAGAGATAGGCTGTATTTACTGTTTTCTGTCTCTGTAGTATCAGAGGATTCAGTTTCCACTAGTGTCTTTGTTTTTGTCCCCCAGCATCTTTCGTTTCCCTAGCAAACACTTCTTCCATAGAATTTGAGCCTTGCAGTTCTTCTCGGCTGTAATCTGTAATCCACTATTGTTAGCCAGGAGCCCTGTTGATGTTTGGTCAGGTCTGGACTGAGGGCACGCATTCTGTAATCCTGGGATTAGGTCTCAGTCTTTTATTGTACCTGTTCCCCTGGGCTGGGACCTTCTCAGGTGTTTCTCTGTTTTTCCCCCCACCTTATGCGAAGAGAGAAGGCTCAGGGGACCTGGAGTTTGCTCATTTCCCTTACCCCGAGTCCAGTAAGGCTTCTCCCTTGCTGGGTAAGCCTTTGTTGTGGAGAATACTTTTGGCTTCTTTCAAAATAGTTCTTTCTTGCCTCTCCCTGGCCACACAGGAAGCAATTTTGCTCCGCTCGGTTATCAAGAAAAGCTGTTGAGGATTCTAGGGGCAAACACCATGATTGTGGAGGGGGTGGCTACCTTAGGTGGGGCCCCCCAGGAGTTTCATCTCTCAAGCTAGTCCACAGCTCATTGAAGCTGCCGTTCAAATCCTGGTTCAAGTCCTGGTTGCACTCACCAGCGCTTCCTGTCTCAGGGGTGAGGAGTTGTAGTCCCTGCAATCTGTCATCTCTGTCATCGCTGGTTCCTCTAGGTTTGGGGTGCAGCTGGTCCCATGACCTCAGTACTCTGATGTCTCCACAAAGAGTCATTGATTTTTAATCTGTTCATATTTTTTCTTGTCGTGAAGATGGGAGTGAAGACTTGTAACAAGCCCTTTCTGTGTTGGAGTAGAATCTTTCCTTTTAGATTTTAGACATTGTTTCTGTTAGCTCTTTGGACATATTAAAATAGCTGATGAAAGGCTTTATCTAGTAATTCCAATGCCTGTGCTTCCTTGGGACAGTTCTATTGATTGCCCTCCCCTCCATACATGGGCCATCCTTTCTTGATTCTCATGTGCCTCATAAAATTTTATTAAAAACTGGACATTTTTGAATATCGTCATGTGGCAACGCTGAGAATGAGATTCCTTTCCTGCCGGGCTTCGTTGTGGCTGCCTGTTGCAGTCCATGTTTATTTAGGACTTCTCTGAATTCCGCAAAGACTCTCTTCGTTATTGTATATAGCCCTTGAAATCTTAGCTCAGTTAGCTCAGTGGTCGGCTAATGGTGGACAGAGATTTCATTGAGTGCCTGGAACAAATAAATCTCGCCCTCGTTTCCGAGAGGCTCAGTGTGTGCATTGCTTTCATCATGCAATCAAACAGTTTACAACTCTGTATTAACCTTCACTAGCCTCAAGGTCAGCCAGAGTTGAGAAGTTACAGGGCCTTCTCACACTTTTCTTGAGCATGTACAGTGCCCTAAGCATGTACTTGGCCTTCTAGATTCCCAGGAATATGTCAGAACTTTTCAAAGCTCCAGTGGACATGTAGTTGCTCAGCCGATTCTTTTCAGTTTTTTGGTTAGTCTGTTATTTCCCTCAAGTGTTATCTATTGCCTTAGGCATTCCCCCCCCAAAAAAACCCCACTTTCCAATGAATGTTTTTGGCCAATGCCGTCAAGAAGAGAGCACTAGATGAACTCTTAGTTCAAATAAAGACGAGTCTTTGGAGGAGGGTCTTCCAGTGATCCATTAAGTTAAATAATTAATATTTGGGGAGGCTGAGGCTTTAAAAGAGGACCACTCTGCTCCCTCCTGTACTGCAAACTTGGGCTGTTGTTTTTCAAGGCTCCCACAGAGCTGTGGAGTGGTAGATGGGACTAGGGTAATTTAAAATACCATAAAGTCTGCTGTTCTTGTTGAGATTCAGCTGTTTTTTTCTTGAATAAACACTCCTAGGTTGGGAGCATAAAGTAGGGCAGATGTTTTGGAAACCGTTTTTCCAGTAACTCAAACAGTTAAACATAGAGTTACCATATGACCCAGCGATTCAACGCCTGGGTATATACCCCAAGAGCATGGAAACCATATGTTTACACAAAAATTTTGTGAATATACTCAAAACCACTGAATTACACACTTTAAAATATGTGAAATATCTTGATATAAGTAAGAATTGAAGTTCTGATACATGGAGGAAACGTGGAAACATGATGCTAAGTGAAAGAAGCCACACAGAGAAGGCCATATATTTTATGATTTCATTTATTAGGAATGTCCGGAATACTGAAGCCCACTGACAGAAAGTATATTAGTGGTTACCAGCGGCTGGGGAATGGGGAACGGTGAGTGACTGCTGATGGGTATGAAGTTTCTTTTAGGGGTGAGGAAAATGTTCTGGAATTAGTGAGGATTGAGGCAAGAATTTGCAAATATATTAGAGACCACTGACTTGTACATTTTAACAGGGTGAACATCATGGTATGTGCATTGTCTCTCAATAGCAATGTTATTTTACAAAAGAAAAAATAATGCTGTGGAGAGTGTAAATCCCTCCGTGTATTCAAAAAATACCAATGGACCGGCCACCATTTGATATTTCTAGGGACTAGGGACCAACAGTTGAACACAAATTCTTTCCCTTGTAGGCCATATATTCTGGTATTAGACGAAAAGCAATACGGTAGTTTTTTGTAGTAATATCTCTGAATAATATCTTAAGAAGATAAGCACACTCGAGACTATCAAATAATTTGTTTTCCGGCTTCCTAATTGCCCTTCACATATGATCTAGTCTGTTGTTTCTGCCCATTAGGGTCCCAAAAGCAACAAGTAAACTTTTCTCAAAACAAACACAACGATGAAGCTTTACTCAGAATTGCCAAAACTTCGAAGGAACCAAGATGTCCTTCAGTAGGTGAATGGATGAATAAGCTGTGGTACATGCAGACAGTGAAATCTTATTTAGCATTAAAAAGAAATGAGCTATCAAACCATGAAAAGACATGGAAGAACCTTAAATGCATTAATACTAAGTGAAAGAAGCCCACTTGAAAAGGCTCCATCCTGTAGGATTCCAACCATAGGATATTCTGGAAAAGACAAAATTATGGAGACGTAAAAAGATCAGTGGTTGCCAAGGGTTGGGGGTCATCCGGGGAGGATGAGTAGGGGGAGCGCAGGATTTTTAGGGCAGTGCGACTACTCTGTATGACACCATGATGGTGGCCGCAAGGCAGTATATGGTTGTTCACATCCATAGAATATACAACAGCAAGAGTCCCCTGGTTACTTCTCCAAACGCCTGTGGAGTCTCTCTCCTCCTCACGCCTGACATCCAGCCACATGGCCTCTTCTAGAAAACGTGAAACCCTCCTAACTCAGGATCTTTGCCCAGAACCTTTCATCTGGCTTGTTCATGTTTATCCTTCAGGTTCAGCTTTCATGTCGGTCTCTTGGAGTAGACTTTTTTGACCTCACAGCCTAGATCTGAATCCATTGTATTCTCTCCTTGTACCGTGTCCCTTACATGGACGCACTTGCCACCATCTGTGTATTTATTCATTTACGGTCTGGGCCCTCAGTTGGGTGGCCAATTTCCTGAGCGCAAGGAGGGCGTCTGCCTTGAGCACTGATGTATTCCCAGCACATAGCCCAGGGCCCAGCTGGGGTAGGTGCTCAGTTGGCCTGTTGACTGCGTGAATAAATGAATGGACTCTGTGAGGTTGATGTTATTAGCTCAGAGTACTTTAGCCATTTACCTGCTGCCACACAGCTAGCAAGTGGACAGAAATGAAGGAGACCTCAGAAGGATAGTTCCTAGGTGACTCTACCAGCTGGGAAAGTATTTGCTAAGAAAGGAGTGGGGGGGAGGCATGGAGCGGGCGGGGTAGAAGATTCCAGACCAGTGACTCAGGGAGATGGTCCCAGGTGTGGGGGGGATGGGGTGAGAGTGTGCAAGCTGCGTATTCAGTATTTTACTGTTGTTGAAAAAATATCTTCTATTTTCATAAAACAGACTGCTGAGACTATCCCTTTCCTGGCTGGGAAGGAAAATAGGAAATACGGCGCTTTTTCTCTAAAAGGGCAGATTTTTTGGTTGCCCGGATGGAAGCAGGTTTCATGGGGATGGAGAACCCGCCGCCCAAGGGCTTTCCAGCCTTTCCCGAAGCAGAGCCGAGGGCTGCGGGGCACAGGACCACTCGCAGGGGGAAAGTAGGGCTTGGTGACACGGCACCCCCCAAGCTTCATGCTCCCAGAACCCCCATGTCCCAGATGGCCTGCCCTTCACGCCCTCCGGTCTGCCTGTTACTTGGACACCGGGCACCCCTCCAATCACAGCCCCCCCATTTCACCCTGCGTCACCCCCACGGGCTTCGCATCCTCCCACCGCCTGGACTAGGCTGCTTGTCATGCTCTCTGCTGGGCAGTGAGAGCCTGTGCTTCCCAGTGAGACTAGTTTAAACGGCCCCGTGGCTGTCTGTGAGCGGCAGGCTGGTTATTCTCCTGAATCAGATCGGGGGGACCTGGCGATCCGGGGGGAGAAGCCGGCGTGGTGTGGAGTAAGGACAGCAGTGGGCATTGTGTTTGCATACATGGCTTTGGTTTCTCTCTGTGGCTTGGATCGTGGGCTGTGTTGTTTCGGCATGTAGTGGTTTTTTTGTCCGTCTGCTTGTTAATATATAGGTTAAAAATAGTCTTTCTGGGAGAAGACCCTTATTTTTCTAGAGCGATTTGACACATTTTTGGTGAGATGCATTAACATTCCCTTTTCAAAGGACTGATGGGAAGGGAAGAATGGGAGCAACTTCATATGCCAAAGAAAGCGAATAAGGTGTAAAGTGACTGTTTATCAACATTTAAGTCCCCACGTGCCAGTTTTTTGTTTTTGTTTTTAAGAACTTCACTAGGAATGAAATGACTAAGTCAAAGAATGTTAAAGCTGGGAGGAACTTGCGAAAAGAAACCAGCTTCTCATTATTATATATATGGAACAGGAGGCCCAGAGAGGGTAAGTGACTTGTCCAAAGTCACGGAGCACTTGAGTGCGGTTGGGGCTGATTTCTAGTCTGGAGCTCAAGTGGGAAGCGGTATCTCTCTGTGAAAGGAAAGTAGTGTGATTTTTAAAGATTTTATTCTATTTTTTGTTAGATGGTTGTTGTAAGAGAAGTTGGGAGAACTTAATGTTTTAATTTACCTGGAGTCCTACCACTTCAAAATGATCATTGTTAGTATTTTTGCTACATTAGTTTCCAGACCCCCTCTTAATGTGTATGTATCCTGGCAGAAATGCTGTATTTATTAAAATTGGGTCACACTGGGCATACTGCGCTGCAATGTAATTCGTAACAGATGCTTACCTATTGTATTGAGTGGATGTACCTTCATTAATTTAATCAGTCCCTTAGGATAGACATACAAGCTTTTTCAGATGTTAAGCTCTTATAAAAGATGCTGCATTAAAGATCCCTGTTTGTACATCTTTTGCTGAAGTCGTGTCTACTTATTGATCTGTGTGAATTTTTGTAGGAATGTAGTGCTGTGGTGTAGGCTGGGTGCGAACTCGGGCTCCGGAATTTACTGTGTGTCCTTTACACACGTCACAATGCTTCTAGGCTCCAATTTCTTCATCTTTTAAGTGGGATCAATCATACTACTGCTCCGCTGGAGGTGCTGGGAGGAGTCAATGAGATAATACGTGTAAAATCATTAGTTAGTGCCCAACACACAGCAAATCCGAAATCTGTATTAGCTGTTGTTACTGCCACAAGAAGGTTAGTTTGTTAACATAACCCCCTTCATTTTCTATTACTCTGTAAAAGAGAGTAATCAGAGTTTCTTTTCATAAGGAGGTTTTTAGGTATAAAACTTCAGTAGCTAAATTAATATTTCCTATTTCTCAGTTTCTCCAGAGGATAAATCATAAATTTAAGTGAATCGTGGGCAGTTGAGCTACTCACCGTGTTCTGGTTACGGAGCTTAATGCCAGTCAAAACGGAAAAGCATAGATTTTCATCGAAGGTTTTTTTTTTTTTTTTTTAAGATTTCATTTATTTGACAGAAAGAGCATGAGAGAGCACAAGCAGGCAGAGGGAGAGGGAGAAGCAGGCTCCTGGCTGAGCAGGGAGCCCGATGCGGGGCTCGATCCCAGGACCCAGGGATCATGGCCTGAGCCGAAGGCAGCCGCTTAACGACTGAGCCACCCAGGCGCCCCTCATCGAAGATTCTTGAGTAAAACTCAGCTGTTTCATGATAAATAAAGCCGCCTCGGACTCTTTGTCCTTTGGAAAGTGCACCCCCTGCCACGGGCTCTACACTCAGCAGAGAATCTCAGCGCTGTTGCCTGAGGTTCTCTCTCTCCCTCTGCCTCTCCCCCTGCTCGCCCTCTCTTAAAAAAAAAAAAAAGAGAGAGAAACTTAGAAGAATTTATAAATGGAATTAATTAATGACCAAAAATTGGTCAAATTTGATCATAATTAATGATCAAAAATGAATGGCTACGTCCAGGATAAAGGTCCCCAAGTCGCTGATTAATCAAATTCCCTTGTCCCCTCGAAGGCAGGCTTGGTGACACAGCAGGCTCAGCCTCTCTACATGCCCTTATTTTTCTTCCGACTCGCTAGCGGAAGAAGGGCCACATCTGCAAGTCCAGTGAGCAGAACCACTGCACTCATCAAGGCAGGGCAGGGCTGGTCTGTGAGCGAGCTGGTGTCCCCGCGCACTGGAAGGAAAACACTCGGACTCCGTACCGAGCGGACGTGCGGGAACTGCCTCCCGAGGAGAACAGCGACTGCACAGGTTTAAACACGGTCTTTATTGAAAATCTTACCAGATTCATCAAAGAGCTTTAAAGCAGGGAAGGCTTAGAATGAAGGAGAGCTATTACTTTTAAACATTAACTGCTAACTCATGCATAGGCTATGTGCAGTTGTTCAGAAAGTAGGTATAGAGAAAAGATGGGCTATAATTATCCCTGCCCCCTAGAGCCTCCTAAGGGTCGCGAGAGCTTTGTCTCAAATACCATCACTTGCGAGGGGTTGCGGCAAAGCTGATGCTGACGTTTCAGCAAACGCCTTAGACTCAGGCCCGGAGGTTCAAAGTGTATTTTCTAAAATTAACTCCACAAGGTTGAGCCATCCCACCCTGGCTAAATTTCTTTAAAAGGGGGACGATGAGGAGCGCCTGGGTGGCTCGGATGGTTAAGCGTCTGCCTTCGGCTGGGGTCATGATCCCAGAGTCCTGGGATCGAGCCCCACCACCGGCTCCTGGCTCCGCGGGGAGCCTGCTTCTGCTTCTCCCTCTCCCTCTGCCTCTCCCCCTGCTCATGCTCTCTTCTCTCTGCATATCTGTGTCTCAAATGAATAAATGAAAAAAATCTTAAAAAAAAATAAAAAGGGGACGATGGTAGCGGTGGTTGTGCAGGGAAAAACAGAGTCAGTCACGTACAGTTGTCGGGCACGGGGCCCAGGGTTAGAAGCCATTCTCAGCGTTCAGGATATTTACACATCCCAGGGTACCTGTAAACAACTCTCCAAGAACCATAAAGCCGGCAATCTGGCCTGGCTCTTATTTGACACTTTTCAGGGGGGAACAAGAATTCAGGAAGATAGTTGGGGTGGAGGGGAATATGGAAACTCCCCCTGGTCCACAACCCGGGCCGCGTAACGGGCAAACCCGCGCTGTGGCAGGGCGCCTGCAGCCGCGGGAGCGGAGCCCAGCAGACGCCGCACGCCGCTCGGCTGCGTCCCAAGTCAAAGGAGGGGCCCCTTGCGCTGTGAGCGTTCTTGAATACACGAAGTAGCGGGCAGCGGGTTACACCTGCCCCCTGACGCGGGCTTAGTCATAAAAACGTGGAGTACTTGGGACTTTCTCAAGGGGCATCTGGGGTTTCTTGTAGGGTGCATCTGAACACCCAGAGGGCTCCGCTTTCAGCGCGTTCTGGCAAAACCCCAGAGCAAGCAGCCCCCAAGCTAATCGTTTCGTCGGGATCACTAGCCCGGCTCGTGGACTCTGGGTGCGAACGGAACCCAACCACAGTCCCATCCATTAGTTACCGACTTGCCGGAGGGGAGAGTCGTGCTCAGAGCCCACACGGCGAGGGGGATACCGTCGCTCCGGTGCCGGGGCTGCCAGGGGCCCCGCGCCTTCTCCAGCCCTATCTCTGCGGCTCCCGCCCTGGAGGGGCGTAGGGCGACAGCCCCGCACCGACCCGCGTGCAGCGAGGGCAGGCGGCGGGACGTCCTCCCAACACGTCTCCCAGGGCTCGGGGGAGTGGTGGGAAGTTTCATTCCCCACCCCTTCCCCGCCCCCGGCGGGCTGCCACCACCCACCAAAGCCCCCTCCCCAAGGCGGTGCCCCGCGGGAGTCGGGCGGAGTCGGCTAAGCGGCGAGTTAGAAACACCGCCCCGCCCCCCCCACCGGCGCGCGCGCACCCCTCCGCCGGCAAACGCTCCGCCCACCTCGTGGCCACGCCCCGGCAAGTCCCGCCCATCACAGCAGTGATGCTGGCTCTTAGCGGCCTGACTCGGGCGACACCGGGAGAGCCGCGGGGTCAGAGCCCGGCCTGAGATAACGTCAGCGGACGGCCTTCCACCGGGAGAGGCGAGGTACGGGACGCCGCCGCTGCTCGCAGGTCGCGGCCCTTCCCCGCGCCGTGCCCACTCTGCCTTTCCGCCCTCCCAGGATCTCAGTGAAGGTAGCAGAAGAGGAGGAGCGGGAGGAGGCGGGGTGGGGAGGGCGAGGAGGCCCGGAGCTGGAGCTGTCCTCCTTAGGTTCCGGGGGGGCGGCAGCCCGGGGCCAGGCCGCAGCGCCTCTGCCGCACCCCGTTCAGCCCCCGCAGCTACAGAAGGAAAGCATTTCACACCGCACCGAATACTCCCGCGTGTCCCCGCCCTACGGCGGCTTCTGGAGGTGCGAGCTCTCCAGGGCTTCGGTCGTCTCCGGATCTCTTCCGGAGTCCCCCTGCCCCCCACCTCTTCTTCAGAGCCCAAAGCCACCTAGCGGGCCCAAGGCCACCAGGGCCCCCCCACCCCAGGACTCCGGGGCATCAAGGTAAAAATACGTTCATGCACTGTTTAAGCCAAGTGCGGGAACACTGGCCAGAAGGCTGTTTTGTAAATCACCTCTTAGCGGAGCCGTGCGGGAGGCACTGTGGAGCAAGTACAGGGCCAGGTCCTACCTCAGTTTAAATTATGGTAATTTTGAAATCACGAGTTATTTTTGCAATGTTGTCTGATGTTTATGTTAAGTACCGCATTAAAGCATGTATCTGGATTACTGATTTCTTTGGCCCCACATCATATTTTGTGTGGGAGGCAAAAGCCATCCCCTAAAGCAAGCCTCAACCTGAGTATTACAGAAAAGTGTCCTGAGAGGAGCGGCATGAAGGGGATAGAAATTTTAAAACAAGCATGAAAATGCCATCCACGTCTCGGAATAGGGGACATTGGCGGTTTTCTCCTCTCAGAAAGGAGCTTGCAATCAGTAGGGGTGTGAGTGAAGCCACAGTGCATGTCAGCCTGAAAACAGCCTGTGGGCCATTCTAAAACGCGCTTCAGGACTTTTGTCCTGGACATTCTCGTGTCGGGCATTATTGCTTTTTCCATGATTGGAAAATAAGTTTTGAATCTGGAGGCTTTAAGGGATAGAAAATGGGATCAGTTCCAGATTATGGAAATTGTCCATTACCAGTGGAAACATGAGTTCGTAGAGGAAAAAATAGAACAGAACCATTTTTCCTACACCTGTACTGTATTTAATTTTTTTTTTTTTTTTTTTTTGCAATAAAGCTCAACTCCTAACAGAAATCCTTTGGGGTGGATGGTAGCCCTCCATAAAGGAGTATTTCTGTCTCCCGTGTAGTCATGCTGGGACTCAATTTGACCTGGAAGTATCTACATTAATGCACTGTGGAGCTGGGTTAGAAGAGAGTTCAACTGTACTCAATTATTTAAAATATTTAACACCAAGCAGAACCTCTGAGCTAAAATGAATGATTTTGTAAGTATGCTGGTGCTGGTACAAGGGAGTCATTTGTCCACAGAACACAGGACGGGAGAGCCTCGTGTCTGCTCAGTCATGTTGAAACTGATGGAGGAAGAGAGCTTCAAGTCCAGGTCCTCCTCCTGTCGTTTTTAAGCATTTGGTAAAGCAGTGTAGGGAGTGGAACCCCTAAATTTGTCTAAAAAACCAAGCAAAAAAACCCAAAACCAAAACAAACAATGCATAGACTTCCACTGGCCTAAAAAGAGTGAAAATGGGAGTTCTGATATGGAGATTGCAGATACCACACAAGTTCCATGTTAGCAAACTACCAAAGGTGTTAAGTGAATATTCTCTTGAGGATTTCCTACCGCTAAGGATTTCTTCCCCTTTGGCAGTACAATGGCGACCAGGTGGGTGTTGTGGACTTTGGTGGGCGGCTGTCAATTCACGGTAGACTTGTACGTGTGTTAATGTGAAGTACTTCTCAAGCAGTGTTGACT